ATCGGGATGCTAGTAGTTCCCAGTATATAACTAAAGTTCGAATACCTTTGCTATGTCTTAATGCCGAAGATGATCCTGTCTGTTCAATGGATTGGGTACCGATAGATGAGATCAAGTAATTACATTTTGTTATATACAACTTTCCAACACACATATATACAGTATATATTCCTTTATTTTTACATTAATTCACCATATACAATTTTCTATATACAGGTATAATCCATATTGCATTTTGGCTACTACGTATTATGGTGGCCACCTTGGGTGGTTTACGGGATTTTGGAATCCTACAAGATGGTATGTAAAACCCTTGAGCGAATATTGTATTGCTATTCTTGAGGTAAGGCACATTCGATCCTTGTGATTTCTGGCGAATTTGCATTTTCTGATCAAATTTTTTCTTATATCACTGAAATGTAATCAGGCAAAGCATCCCACAAAAAAATCAAAGTCGGAAGAACCTTTGTCTGTTGACGAGGAGAAAATGGCTAAAAAAATTCAATAAATGTGTCGACTTTCTATTTTAAAAAATTTATTCGCGTATTTATTTGTAAATTTGACAAAATATATTGTGTGCGGACTAAATTTTAACTAGGGATAAGAGATTAGACAAATGTTTTGGAAATGTGAAATGAAAATAAAGTTATTTATTGTCAATTATAAAAGGAAAATAAAAAACAAATGACAAATTTCAACAAATTTCATACAACGCCATTTTCTTTAATACAGGAGTTATTTATTAACATATCACAAAAGAGTTGGGTTATCATATGATTTTTCATTTGGCAATATTTAATTTAAAATCTCGATGGATTTTTCATTTGTTATTTCTAACTACAAACTATTGTTATAAAAATTATTTTAAAAAAATTATAGGTTTTAAATTTTGGTAAGGTGAGTATTTAATTCCGATTGAATTTGAATATACAGAGTAATTCAAAATTTTTGATAAAAAGTAATTTTTTTTTTTTTTACTTTATAACTATCATATTAATTATAATCATAATAATTGATATCATATTAATTATAATCATAATAATTGATATCATATTTAGTGATACGTATGAGAATTTGAAATTTTATTTTCTAATTATAATATATTTATTTTAACAGTCATTTATAATTTTATAATTAATTTCACAAAATCAAAATCGAAAAAAAAAATTCTTTGAAGTTATTTAAATTTTATAGAATAATAGTATTTATAATATATTTATAAACGTAATTATATAAAATTTTGATTTATTTTATATATTTAAATTGTTTAATACAAAATCAAAAACTTTAATATAAATTGTGTTTGTTAACAAATTGGTGACATTTAAATTATTAATTATTAAAATGATAGGTTACACTTTTTTTTTTAATTAATATTTTATTATTTAGGAAATACAGTAGATTAATAAAAAAGTAATTATTTTTTTTTAAAAAAAATAAATTCTTTTATTAAAATATTTAAATTATAATGGTAATTGTTTTTATAAGATTTTTTATTTAGCATGCATATTAATTTTAATAATATGAATTTATTTTTTGAATAATTTTATATAATCTCAAAATCCATCTTTAAAATTTAATATTTATTATGGCAAAACATATGAAAAATTTTGAAAAATCCAAATTGAATTATTTAAATCTTTTATTTTTATATTTGTATTTTTTTAGCCATTTGTATTAATTAAAAAAAAATTTTTTATTTAAAAAATTTTGTATATTTTTATAATAATTTAAATTAATTAATTAATTGTAATAATAATTAATTAATATATATACTATAAAAAATTGTTTTTATAACTTGAATTTTAGATATTTAAAATCATTATATTTTGATATTTAAATTTGATGATTTAATTGTTGACTTTTTAAAAAGTTTTATATCATAATATTATATAAATATTAGTTGCTTACTTTGATTACTTTTGATTAATAATTTTATTAACTTTTATTTTTTAAAAATTTAATTTTTTAAAATTGCTAATTACTAATTAATATACTTATATCAGTTTTGAAAATGGTTTATTTAAAAAGACAATTTTAGTATTTTACAAATATAATATAACTTGATATTATATACACATTTTAAAATAAATATGTTATTTGATAATAATGATTTATGAAAAATTTATTTAAATTGAGTTATATTTAAGATACAATTATAGTTTTGATGAATTTATTAAATAAAAATCCAAATCCATGATTTTAAAAAATTTTTTCTCAAAATCGATCAAAATGTAATACACTGTATTTTTAAATATACATATTAAATCAATAACAAAATTCCAACCGATAATATTACTTTTGATTATAAAAAAAATCGATTTTTAAATTATAAATGAGTTTAGTTTAAAGTGTTGTTTCAAAATTTGTTTAATTATAATAAAAAAACTTTTATATAAAATAAAATTGACATTACAGTAATCAATGGTAATTTTAAAAGAGTTACAGTATTTGTCAAGTATTAAACCTTAGGGTGTGTATCTGCATCAGGTATCGTGAGATGTGACTTTGGACAATTGAGACGGCAAAGGCAACGTGACCGCGAAATGTAATAATGAACATTGTGAAAATTATTATATAATTATATCGGGATAATAATTTATTTTATCTTTCTATATTTATTTATGTAATTAAAAGTTAATAAAGACAGACCTCGGTCAAATAGCTAAACGCCTCACCACCTAATCACTGGTAACGGTTACGCGATTTTCTGTTAACATTAGCTACAGGCTCGCCGATCGTCCGTTACTGTAAAATAAAATATAACGCTCATTAAAGTACTATTTCCCTTTATAATAGTAAAAATCGACATTTATAAAGAACTAAATCGTGATCTTATTAGAACTTTCATCCTTAAGGGAAATTGACGTTGGTATAGACATTAATCCCTTAAGTTTTTGAGAAGTTGTGATAAACATGATAGTTGTCTACATGTGATTACGTAATAAACTGGTTGCTAACAATAAAATGACCTTTAGCAAGGTATCTTTTTTTAATTTACAATGGATATAATTATATTAGACTGCCTTCTTCAAGGAAATTATTTTACGGGCAAACTATTTTATGATCATGTTTACATTATTTTCAGACCATCTGAATCACTTGCAAGATTAAATAATACATTTGAGTTGGGCTACTTATCTAAAGGAGGAACTGTGAATTCGTAGGAAAAGGTTTTAAAGCAACATCACATGATGGTCTACTTTATTCTGAAATTAGAAAACATCGTTCGTTTACGGAATTTATAAAGTAGCAAGAGAGTTGAGATCAAGCGAGAAACTTAATTCCAACGATAGTGATTAATGGTATAAGTTACCAGGAAATTCGCGATGGAATGTATAATTCGATGTTTTGTATTGAAGAATATTTGGGACAAAGATGAAGGTAATATCAATATTACTTTATGATCCAAATCAAATTTGCTCGTGAATAGATGATAATATTGAGAATTACCTCTGCCAACTTTACAAAAAGATGGCATTGTGGACATATTTTGGGGCAGAACATCAGCATAATAAAATGACATGGAGTGTTACGTGTTACTCGCCATCTTAGCCGACACAGACGGACAGAAGAAGTTGCAGGTCAATTAATTCGTTTCATACTAGAATGTATAGGGCAACTTGTTTCCGAAATACACTACAATGTGGTCGTGATCATTTGCCAACCTATAAAAGGTCCCACAAGATTTACAGAAAGCTTTCGATAAAGCCTTAGACAATGAATTGTGACCGTCATTCCGAAAAGCACATTATAATTTGGTTGGTATGAGCTATTATACTGTATGTTCGCTAGAAAGGCAACCTTCATCGAGGATGTGGTGGCTTATTTCCAAGTGAGATTTATGGGCATCCAGTAGATATTGTCGAGGCTCGTGCCACAATTCCCTATGGTTTTGTTAGAGTGGAGCAAGTATAGGAGTAAAATATCTGGGGCAAGAATTTAAAACAATCAGGCATTCTTTCATGCAAGCATGTATGCAAATTTAATTAATCAAGTATTGAAAATGGCGATATAATCTATCTGTCTTCGCATGATATAAAGAAATTTCTGAATCGAAAAAAATAGACAGGATTCTGCTTGGATCGCTATGAACGTGGCATGCGAAATAACTTCTTCTCTAATACATATCAAAAGAACCTTAGGGTCGATACTGCATTCTGTATGTATCCAAAATGTATTACTGTATAAATGTCGATTCGTGAAATTCCGACTTTATATTCGTATTTTATCATATGCGTCAATAAGTCAACAGATCAAGATTCCGAGAGTTTTAACAGTTAAAAAAAACTACTTCAAACATTCTAGGATTAAATGTCAACAATTGGTTTCATATTTCTTTTCTTTATTATAAATTTTAAATCAATTCAATGGATCGAACTTCAAAGTTATAAGTATGTATATAATTACGACTTAAAAGATAAACATTCAAGCATCTAGAAGAGATTTGTTTTTCTACAGAGTTAAATGATTAATTTCTTGTTATCAGTGTTTAGGCATAACCTAAACAGTATAATGATTAATAAAAATAATTTATTACATAACCTTTAATTTTTAGTTGTAATTTAATATTTATTATTGACTTGAACATTACATACTACAAGTAGATCAAAGAAAAATATGAAAGGCTTGGAATAAAAATACAATAAAACTTTGTATTAAATCCATTTGAAGACGTTTCTCTCATTCATCTTTTATAAAAATCGATTTCGAAAATTCTCTGGCAAACTCAATAGCCTCATTAATTGACTCTAATTTCTCTTTATCCAAGTATTTCTTGGAAATTTCACCCGTTATTTCATAATCCTTCCGCCAACATATGCTTTTTACTGAAATATTGTCCTCCAAAGTGATCTGTTCTTCTCCTCTGCTTTCTTGTTGGATTGTGAATCTCGTGATTTTGAATTTATCATTTCTTTGTCATGATAAATTAAAGTTAAAATAGTGAAGTAAATAAAATAAAAAATAATACTAATTCTACCGAGACTATAAATTGATTATATATACCTATAACAACCCTTGTTAATTTTTTGTCTAATACAAAGACAGTTAAGTTTTCCATCGAAATCACTCAATCTGAATCCGTCACCAGTCGATCTTTCAACTTGAAGGTTTTCAACAATTTGGTTAATTTTTTGGTCAGGATGCCCGTCATATTCGGTCCTCACCATGAATTGCAAATCAGGCACTTTGGTTCCTGTTATGATGTTAATCGTCGCTACAAATAATATATAAAATAAGTAAGTGTAGACAAAAACCGAATAATTCACTAGAGAACCTGAAGAAACATGACTAACCATGACGCCTACTATTTTTTGCAACCTTATGTAATTTCCACGATCCTAATTAATTACAAATTAATATATTTTCTATAATATTTTTTTTTTAATAAATTATTTTAAATGGTTACCGTCTTCTTTACTCCAACGTAGCTTCATCTCACCCAGCTGACCATTCTCCACATAAAGTATGCTGATACTCTTTTTATCCTCTTCGTTATCTAACTTTAGTTTAAACCTCTCATGAATTGCCTCAATATTTTTCCAGATTTGTGGAATAGGAACGAATGATGTCTTAATCATCTTTGACGAACAATATCTTTCAATTCTTCTTATAGTACCATTTGTTGTTCTCCTTCTAGTCCCCCAAAATCTCAATGTTTCAACGTCATCCCAGACTCCCATGACTTTTTTTCCAAGAAGCTCGTTCACCTGAATAACTTTTTTTTTCAATCTCAAATCTGGTGGAAGAAACGTTTGACGACCAAAAAATATACGAAGTTGAATTCGTTTTAAATTAGAGTTTTCAGGTATGTTGGACTTTGTGTTAGGATTTCCAAGTTGTGTGAATATTCTTTTGAGACATTCTTCAAATCTATCAACGGTACTAAGTCCATCAGAACCTATTAGAGGCTTTGATCCCATGTTATATTCCTTTTCTCTTTTCTTCCCTTTTTCGCGATTGTTTCTTTTAAGAAAATATTGGTTGCGCTCTCTCTGCTCGGAATTATTGTGGAGCCTATCTGTAATATTTCCATCTTTAAATTCTGTATATAAATACTCTATATCCAAGAATTTCTCGATGTCATCAATTTCCAACAAATTGAACTCAACAAATGGTTTGGACTTAGCTTTGGTAATTGTTTCATCGATAAGAACTTTCGCATCTATACGTTTCCGAGGAGTACCATAGATTTTTATTGATGGAGGGATCGTGTTCAGTTCAACATAAATTATCGCACCAGACATTTCTCTATCAAAATAATCTTAATTAAATTGTTTGGTAGTCACCGCAAAAAAAATTCTCGGGAAATATAATTACGTAATTTTCTTGATATTATATCCTCGAGATCCAATAATGTAAGGACCAAAACCTTCAGGAATGGGAATAACCTCCTCACTTTTGACATTTGATTCCAAAATTCTTGTATAGATACGTGGCATCGTTATACTCTAGAGAAGTTTTTGTAATTTTATGCGAATGGGTTTTTACAAAAGCATGAAAGTCGGACCTCGACGTTTTGCTTTTGTTGACAAAAATAAATAGTCTCACGTAGATCAACAGCCATTACCGTAATACTAAATATAAAAATTTTTTAATTAAATCAAAAAAAGATTGCACATTAATTACAAAAAAAAATAATACATTGCTAAACCTATTTCAATATACAGTATAAACTAACTAATCATAAAAACGTTAAAAAATTTTTATAGTTTAATATAAGTTTGAAAAAATTTAATAAAAAATTTTTAATAACAGAAAGATTATTTTTGTTATATTATAAAAATGATATAGATGGTTTAATAATTAATGATTATTCATCTTATAAAGAAAATATTAACTAAAAGAAAAATATACAGTATATATGATATCTCGAAAATATAAAAAAATTTTGAATCAAATTAAAATATGAATAATAATTTTAATGTTGTATTTTTTTTTATTTTTTTTTTATAAAATTATTGTTTGGTTATTTAAAAAACTTTAAATAAATATATATGATAATTGTTTTTTTTTAAATATATATATTTATTAAATTATAAAAATAATAATTATAAATTAAAAAAAAGGTACTTTTTGTTATAATAAAAAAATTTTTTTTCAACTTTTTTTTTTAATTATTAAAATTAATATAATATTTTTTATCTATTTTAAACTTTGTTATACACATATAACTTAATTTTAAATAAAAATTTGAGTTGTATAAAAATCAGATTCTTGATTAAACCTTTTAAAACTTGAATTATCTTATCAATTATAATTATATAAAAAACTTTTTGAATTTTAATATTTTTATTATATATAGTGTATTGCAAAACTTTTTATTTATGTTATTCAAAAACCACTATATAAATATTAATTTGGTTGTGGCAGCTTTCATTACATTCTTGATGATGATTCCGCATATGTAATAATACACTGCTCTTTTTTAGTTTAAGGGAGAAAAGATTGTTCGAAAAAAACACTTGGTCATTTTCAGATAGAGTTATCGACTTTGTAAATTATTCTTTAACTAGAAAACGGAAATCGTTAGGGTCAGAAGCATTGTTTTTAAACTAAAATTATTAAATTCACTTTTAAGTCATAAAATTTAGATTAAAGTTATTTTAATTCGTAATTTAAAAAAAAGTAACTACTATTATACATGAAGAATAAATTTAGATAATTAAAAGATAACATTTCGATAAATTTCTTAAAGAACAATTTCACAAATTTACCAATAATATAAAAATAACATCGTAGAAAGTTTCGCGAGAACTATTTTTATTAGTTAATGTGGCGCAGGTGCACAATGCGGTATTACGTTACATTATGTTTTCGCGAACGGCGGGAAATTTTGGATGTGAATCTCTAAAATAGAGTGGAATAATGAAGAGAATGTATAAATTTGTGCGCAATTCGATAGCACGTAAAAGAGTTAGCACTCGCGTTCTAATAATAAATAAGCACCAAGTTAAAATAAACTCTTAACTTTTTTCACGTGTGCGCCAAATATTTGTAACTTGTACTACGCGATTGGGCGAAAGGACCGAACTTGCCTAAGGGAATAATAGTCGATAGAAAAGTTAAAAAGTGTAAAACCGGCCATATCAGGA